TTTATTGTCTCTCTAGAAAGGCTGGGGCAAACCGTTTTGAACAAAGTGGTCACTGATTAACGACTGCACGACTGAAGGGCCTGTTTAGAAGATTGGTTAGTTGTTCTTCCTCCACACTTTGAGTAACTCAATGGCTCGTTTGCAGCACTTTCAAATTCATGTGAACACTTCGTCAGTGACAAACACCACATTACATTTGGTTGTATCCTGAAAAAACAGCCACTGAAATCCGTTCATTTGTGTACGGAATAACCAGGATAATGAGGCACCTGTCGGCTCCAGTAATGTGGTATAATCCCGCATGTTAATAATACCAACTTAATGTAAAAACCATGGTTTACGGTCTAGATTACAGTCTAGTGGCGAGCAAAACAGACAAGCGCTTTATTCGAACAAGGTCATAAGATTAACAGAATTGTGAAAGAAATTTATTCAATCTCTTGCGTGCATAACGTGCAAAACCAACGAGAAGCAAATGGATTCATAAACTGGCGTCATATGAAACAAAAGTAGTTGCTCTCTTCAATTGTCGTCTTCCTCCGTCCCTATCCTCGGCGCTTGGAAAACCTAATGTTTAATCTAAGGCCGCCACGCTGTATGAAGAGACAACGCTGGGCTACTGTTATGTAAATAATGTAAAAATGCACCGTTGTGGATCCCTGATTGAAGTTCTACACACTTCCGGCGCCATAGGTTTGAGAAAATGAAGTCATCCAACAATTTTCTGGTCTTCAAAAAATGGTATGCAGGACTGAAAGAAAGTGCACCCTAACAATGCCCAAACCACCTCCATATCCAATGTTTGGTTCACCCGAAACTCAGACGATTTGCCCAGTCATAGTAGCACACAAAGAACGATAAGACCAGACACTTCCTATTTCCCCCTACTAGAGCTCGGCGTCTTTCATACTCGACTAATCATTCTTAGGCTGTAAGCAGATATGTAGAAGTTCAAGATCTATTTGCCGATTGTCCAATTCATGTTTTGCTTTTGGGTTCTTAAACACTTCGCTTGAAATTCGCTCCGACTATGAGTAGCTTTATTCACACTGAGTAACTTAGTATGGGGTGGTATGAAAAGTTCACATTTCCCTCTTTCAACCAATTCCTTAGGCTTCCAAAAGTCTAACACTTAACTTAGCAATATGGTAACGCACAACCTGTAATCGTGCATACAATCAAACGCAACAAGTGGAATGATAAAGAACTGCAGGTAAAAAAATTGATGAGCCCATCACTGGTTTGAAAGTTGGTACGAAGTGTCCCGGGATTGTTGTAAGAGTATGGCGGTATTCTTGTGACAACACGATGATTGGCGAAGTTCTAGAAGAAGCTAAACATTCTTATGAGAGTGAACAGAGCAAGGGCGAGCAGCTGCACTATGCCACTGATTACAACATCATGTGACTGAATATATCAGTGCTCAGGGTAAGCCACATTTAAGGCGAAATTCATCTTGTTATTTGAAAATTGTGTCAGAAAAACAAATTGAATTAGCTTGAATATCATAGCATCATGAATATAAGCCCATATTATTCAACGCATTCATTTGGAGAATATCATGAGCCAGGATTTCATTTAATGCTCCCGTTAACACCATTGTAATTTGGATTTGAGTGGATTTTGCCAGTTGTGAATTCTTTTTATAGACAATCTATCATGAACATCCTACTGATTGTGACGACTCTTCGTGGTCACATATGGTTGAGCTGAGATATTGCGTTGCTTTTTGGACAACGTTTTCATACATGACAATGCTCGTGGAACCGGAAAAAACATGTGTGATCTTAATGCTCATTATAGTTACCGTCAACATCGTTATCATACTTGATACACCAGGTACTGTGGTTACAAAATTACCCTCACGTATTGTTCCTTTGGTGTGATTACGTTCGGCGAGCTGAACCGGCTCCTTTAGGTGCCGACCGGGTAGCCTTAACGTTAGTCTGGGTGAGCTAAGAGTTCAGCAACTCCAGACAGGGCTAACCACCCCGTTTGGTTTCAATGTGCTGGTTACTTTCGACAATGTGTACTACGAATCATCTGGTGCCACCGCACCAGGTCCAACCAGTACACAGGTGAGACTTGTTGGGTTCACTTTTGAGGAATGCAGCAAATGCGGCAAATCGAAAGCTGGCTTGGTGGCCCACCATCGAGTTCACGACTATGATAGAGTTGGTACGAACAAAGTTGCCACATTGGCCTGTGCTAATTGTTCCCGCCTTTTTCCGACGAAGATTGGCCTAAGTCTACTTTGCCGGCACGCACGCCCCACCAAGCATAATGCAGATAAGCTTGGCCGAGTGAAGTATTCCGGTACCCGCTGGTCCAAACAAGAGTCACAATCGCTCTTACTCCCGGTTAACAATTTAAATCCTTCTTGTGGCACACAAATGGCACTGTTCGCGAGATTGGAGCAGTATTTTCCTGGTCGATCGGCTATCAGCATCAAAAACAGGTTATGGATGCTTAACTGGCGAACACTACAGGACGAATCATCTGGTGAACCTGAGCAAACTATCGGTCAGACGACGGCCTACTCATCAGAAGCCTATGACTACAGCATCTGGTCCAGACAAACAGTGGATTGCACCGTGTCACTCTTGGAACCCCATGCTGACAGTTCGCTTGCCAGTGTTGACTTTCTGGCATTTTCCCAAGGGCTGCAGTCTGGCACCATGACACCGGAGCAAGTCCTGTCGCTCTGGACCTCCCTGTCTCCAGGGCATTTCCACACACCTGAAAGACTGTATACCGACGCTGACCTCGGTTACCCATCGGATCCCGGTCAACCGAAAGCAGATCCACCGAGCCACCTGCACCGCCATCCAGACCGTATACCACCAAAGATGGAGCGATGCAGCGTCTGTTATGCTCGATGGGTCATGGAATGATCTGTACAAAGGTAAATGCGGTCTGCCTGTGGACGCCGAGCAGTATTGAAAACAGGTTCTCTCAGTTCTGAAACACGTAGATAGCTGGCCAAGTCGCACAGTAGTACCATCCGACTGGAGCTTGATCGAGCCAATTACAGGCCATACAATTCTTTTAATGGGCATTTCATCTCCAGGCTTGAAGAAGCTCAAGCCCAGGATGCTCCGCCAATTCAATGCTAACGTGCCCGCTGGGTACTTCAATCTAATTTTATTATCTGGGGGTTATCTCCCACACCTTGTCGTCCCCGTAAGACCCTAGTTTTGAAGGTCCCAAACCTGACTTCACCGGATCAACTGAGACCGATTTCCATCCATCTTTGTTCGTTGCTTTCATAAGGTGCTTGCTGATCGCTGGAGTCGTAGATCGCAACTTTTCTCATTTCAGTTTATATTTCTGCATTCAGATGGCTGTTTGGAAGCCACGTCGCTGTTACACGCCCTGCTTCGTCACTCTTTAGCGACTGCTTCCAACCTCAGCTTGGAGTTTGTTGATATCTCGAAAACATTTGGTTCGGTTACGCATTACACAATCATCAGATCTGCCGAGGCGTTTGGAGCACCGTCAGCCCTGGTTCGATACATCGCACAGTCCTATGAAAGCGTTGTAGCAGTTTTCCCCAGTTCGCGGGTTCACTGCCACAGAGGTGTGAGGCAAGGAAATCCACTCTCCTCATTGTTGTACATCATGGCAATGGATGAGGTTCTTGGAATGGCGATGCTGCAACTGGAAGACCAGTTCCATGATATCCTAGTAGATGGCTTTTTCTTCGCTGATGACTGAATCGTGTGTGCAGAAAGTCAGGCTTGCCTTACGGATAAACTTGGAGCCGCTGAAGTTGAGTTGGGAAGAGCTGGTATGAAGATAAACGCCCAAAAGACGAAAGTGATGGTTATTTGTGGGGACAGGAAACATCAGTCAACAGCAGTCTCAGTCGAACCATTTCGCTTCGCTCAGGAACTCATCACTCCTCTGGGTCCGACCGGCACCGTAACATATTTGGGAATTCCCTTTACTTCAAAGAGGGAAGGAGTCTTCAACCACCGACAGCACCTGCTCAAACTGCTCGATAAGGAGACGCGTGCCCCGTTGAAGCCGCATCAAAAAATGGAGACCACGGGGAACTACCTAGTACTAAGCCTGACATATTCGCTCGTGCTCAGCCAAGTTCACCGAAACACGCCCAAAAGATTGGACAACTACATCAGGCAATATATTCGTGGCTGGGTACGTCAACCGAAGGATACTCTGATCAGATACATCCACGCCGGTAAGCAACATGCGGGGCTTGGTATTCCAAGTCTGAGTGCAACAATCCCGATGCAGCGGAGAACACGTATGGAAAATCTCCTTTCTACTCGGTACCGAGTACTACCCAATGTGATCGACGATTCCGCAATGGGCAAAATTGTTCGGGAACTCAGCCTTCGACGATTCCGCGTTGGGCAAAATTGTTCGGGAACTCAGCCTTCCGACCCAAGTCCATGGTGAATGCGTAAACACCAAGGAAGAGCTGGTGACTGCCTGGGACGATAGTCTGCGCAACAGCGTTGACGGTCGCACGATAGTCTGCGCGACAGGGTAGACGGTCACGGTTTACTATAGTTGGTCGCTTCGCCTCTCTCGAATCGATCGATTGTATTTCTAGAACGCGTGTTTCCTCGGCTATTAATCCACAGTATCCAGCTCCGATTCAACCTGCTCAGGACAAGAGTTAGAACTGCTTGGCATGGTCGTGATGGCCAATCGGAGAGTTTGATGCATATTTTGCAGTCCTGCTGGATCACGCATGATGCCGGATGTGCTCTTCATAATCGGGTTGCAAGGAAACTCGCAAAACGTCTCCGTCAATTGGGATACACCGTCTTCGAGGAGTTGAGAGCACCTACTTCGACGTCCTTCATCAAACCTTACCTAGTCGCTGTTCGAGATCACCGTGCAACTGTAATAGACATCAGCATAGGCTCGGATGGGCCCGGAGTGACTGTGTGGAATGAGAAGAAACAGAAATATGGTGCTGATGAATATTCCAGTTCAGTTCTACGTGTAATTGGTTGCGATTTCGACTTTTTGGTCCATCAACCGATGATCATCTCTTATCGAGGGATCTGCTTTCCTCAATACGCCAAGGCTGTTCTTGGACTGGGGCTTCTTAATATCACAGTCAGTGTCTTGTGTTTGCTTGCCACTGTGGGCTCTCCACGTACTTACAACAATTTAATGCATGGCACACGGAGATGAATGTACATTTTCGTCATTTAATCTGACACCAGACCCCTTACGACGGACGCTTTATGCCTGATGTGCGAGTCTTGATTGTGCTAGCGCTTACCGCGCCTTGAAGAGCATTCAACATTATTTGCCCTTTCTTCGGTTGTTGGTCTTTAGACGCGCGTTTCCATACCAAAATTTTTCACATACCTTTGAACTCACCTCATCTGACTGGAACTGTTGGTTGCATAAATTCGAATGAGATGCTTCTCTCTTTTCCCTCTTATTCTTCTGTTACCCTTTCGTATTCGTCGTTTGCATTCACTTTTTATGTTCGTGACCATGCTCTCCAAAAATAAATGATAGTTGTTGACATCACAAATAGATCAGCCCGAATTCTCTCCCATGCACAGGCAACTACTGCTTGTTGCCATGAAAATATTGATTTTTAATGTAGATGCGCTTACATATGTCAGAGAATATTGATAGTTGATGTCAAATGCCAATGAAATGTCACTCAGAAACTGTTTCCTGAGATCATTCGGTTACTCAAGTGGGCCCACATCCTGGGGACGGTAGGCGTTCACTTCCGTCCCTCCTCATTGCTACTCTAAGGTCTATACTTGGATGACACCATCGGCCCTGTTCAGCACACCATCTCAACTTGTGGATCAAAATATTCTAGATGTGATTGTTGCTTAGGAACGCATTTTTGTTGACACTAAGACTATGGCTATCTGGGGGGAATCTACGAAATAGCCGTACAATGTATTATGTCATGTCCATTAGGTACAAATAGCCGGAGAATGTATTAGCTTTGTGTAACTGCTCAACAACCAGAAGAATAACAAAATGATTAACAAAGCATTACGGGTTCATAGCTCCCAGTGCTTTCAGACAATATGTCCTGACATAAGGGTGGACAATGGACTTGTTGTCTAGACTAGATATCGTTTGTTTTCCTTGTCGTGGCTGAAAGTGTTTGATTATGTAAACACTGAATTGCGTGCAATTCAGGGGTATTAAAACGGTGTGCGTTGATCGACACAAAATACTGTATGTGAAACTGTACGTAGCACACTGCCATTTAACGTAAATTGCTCCAGTTAATGAAATTCAAACTTGAAATTTTAAGGCATTACATGGTTAGCTAGCTCGTGGAAGTGGGAATCTCTAATTCGTACCTCCAATGTAGTTAAATTGTCTGTTTGGCTCTCAAATCACAGAATGTATCCATCAAAAAGAGTGCTTTATACACATAATTGTGATTAATTTTCATGGTTTGGATTCATCTACGTAATAACCTTGCTAAACGGCTCCCGACTTTGCAAAATATGAGTTTCAGGAATGTTCAGAAACAACAAAACGAGCTATTCGGAAGTCGGAAGCTGCAAGTGCTGTGATCTCGATTAGGTCGACCAAAGCGGAGTGTTTGAGGATGAGGATAAGCATCTGATGGTGAGACGAATGAGAAAATCCTGCTCAGAAAAAAGGCATTATAGGCTCAACCTTAACCAAGTCTGAAGTATTTCGAAACCGTCAGCCTCTCCTGCCATACCTTAATTATCGTTATTGCTCAGTGACTTGAAACGCAACTTGAAAATCAAAGTCTGCACAAGAGTGGAGGTTTCAAATTTGCTCACAAAATTTAAGTCCGTCAATCACAACTCATATGACGTAACCATATTTCGCTTTGTTCCTAACTTCAGAAGTCAGGACGACTGTCATTTTCAACCTGCATCCCCATCAAACAAATTTCGTAGTACGTTCACGATGTCCGGTTCTACTCATTGACGTATATTGGGTTATTCTTTGATGTGTCATTTGAAATAATAGACGTTTGTCGAACGAAATGTTATTACTAAAAAAAGAAGTTTACCAAATCGCTATGGAAAAAACATTAGGAATTCGCTCCGGAATTTAACATTTTAACGCTCTTAGGAACTGCCACGGCTTCCTATTACGTTACGTCAAAAGATTACCATGGTGATAGTTACAATCCCATTTAGTTATGGGACAGTGCTCCAGTCGAAAAGTTATTTTTGACGAGAACCGAACTTGCGTCTAATCTGCAGAACGGAAAAGAATAAAACGAACTAAGTAGAGCACAGACTGATGAATTCGCCAGTCTAGTACGCTTACCGTGTGACCAGTGGTTATAAAGTATTCTCATTTTTGCTAGTGCATTCCCCTTTAAGCTTACCGATCATGCTTCCTGATTTACTGTATGGGGCACACAAACTGGTGCGTGCAGCATGGGCAAACGAAACACTGGACTGTGATCATGAACCAATAACCTTCCTTTTCGGTTGGTGTTTAGCATCGAGGCACTAGAATACACCGACGTTTATCTTCATTCAGTCTGTCTTTATAAACGCCTATTGACAAACGGTGGCATAGCTAATAACCTTAAAAAAATGTCGTCATTTGAGCTTTTGTGGTGCGCATAGGTCGTAACAGATGTCTTTTATTAAATCTGTAGGAGCTTTCTTAATAGCTGTGGGAGTTTATTTTAGCTCGTCTGCAGTTTTGTCTGGTTAAGATAGCTCTTTGATCTTAATTGAAAAGCCGTAGTCTGCAAATTATAATTTATCCTATAGATACTGTTGTCAAGTGCAAATTATGGATCTGCGTTACGCAATTTGATACTGTACAGGATCCCCGGGTGAATCAGGATACAACCTGCCAATAATACAAGTCTCAGCTGTTTAGCTCATTAGTACTTCATTCCAAAATAGCAAAGAATACACGGAAGTAAACAGAGTATGATTAACTAGGGATTACATACTGGTGAGTACTTTAGATACGGGACTAGAGAATTGACACCACGGAGCCAAGCCCCTCCGATTACCTATGTAGATTTATGCTACTGATTATGCTCAAGACTTTCAAAAAGAAACGTTTATGGGAACCTGGTTTTTCTAAACAAAAACAGAGGAAAATTTTATAGCCTTAATTTCTGTTGGAATTCTAGAGTGTTCCCAGATTTCCAGTGGCCACAATAAAAAAAATGAACCCGTAGTTCAATAATCAGAATAAAAGGTTAGTTACACGAAACACTACGAGCTTCAGAGTTTCACTGCGGGCAGCATTCGTCAGAAATGGGAATTTACGAACTGAGATCCAGTCTTCGTCCCAATATTGCCTCTGTTGCGACATGTTTTCAAAGAGAAGACGAAAAAATCTGGAATTTGTATGCTTAAGCCGGTAGCAACCACCTTATCTGGTCACCCGAGGTCATGCGGGAGTAAGATAAAAATGCAAATGTGGGATAAAATGTCTTCCAAAGTCAGCAACTGGAGATATGCTAATTTTGAAGTTTTTGGAAATTCTTAGAGTATAATATGCAACAGATTCATCTGGAATTCAGGTTGGTCTGCCGTCAAAAATAAATTGGTATGCAAATGAATGCATCTGGCAAATTTCTCGATCCTAATTTTGATGACCACCCTCACGAACGTGCCCGAAGTTCACCAGTTCGCACTGAAGTCATACAGAAGCAGAAAGTCAACAAGGCCATTTTTAGAAAGACCTGGTTTTTAATTTCTACCTATTGTGCATATTTGGTTGAATTCGATGGGTGAAAACCACAAGAAAATTTTATCAACATTGCCAAACGTGTGGTAATCGAGTAAATGGCTCTTCGAAAATATTAGGACATTATGCATAACGGACTCAGTTCAGAAGCAAGAATAACAGCCAGTGAACTTTCTATCTCATGAGTCATCAGCCAGTAATGTGACCACATGATGTGGGCCACGTGATTTAGAGATGGGTGGTGCTATATCCTGTTTAATTCTGCAAGTTAATCACACTGCTGATCAACCGCTCGTGGTCAGACGATTGGGTGTACAACCATAAGCGGAATGTCACGGGTTGGGAACTCTGTCTTGTATGATAGGCATTACTGATGATCCCCAGTAAGGATGAAACAGCTGTACAATGAATCCCGCCTTCTCAACATAGATTGGGTTCACTACATAAAAGTCGACGTATTGAATGCCATGTTTCGGTTACTACAGCTAGTTAACTGGGTCTGGTCTGGTGTTCTGTGGTGTGAGCCACTCATTTTTGCTGAAACGTGTGGCTTCCTTGGCGTGTCTAAAGATGAAGGACTCGGGCCAAAGCTCAGGCTTCAGCCCAGGCCTAATCATGCATATTTCTGACTCAGCCTTAAGTCAGCAGTTCTGCTTTTCAGCTTCCGCAGTAAGGCAACCGTCTTCACATATTTTTTTACATGCAAAAATGAGAGTGGACGTTTACTGTGAATAAAATACCTGTCAGTCATAGCGTTCACCTCGTATGCGCGCCATACCTACTGGAGGGCTTTATAGGACCGAGGTCCTCAAAGTGTAGACCGAACCGTGGCTTAATTTAAGAATGTTCTAGCTGCTCCTTCGGTAACTTTGCATTAGTGAGACCTATCTGTAAGATTCAAGTGCACAATATCCCTCGCAAATTTATTGACCTCCCTAAAAGCAGCGTTTTTTGGGAGAACATTGAGATCCTGCTAGAATATCCTCAATATGTAAAAGATGTCCCAGATGTTCCCATGGGGAATAACAAGGGCCTACCCATCGTGACAAATGAAAAACGCAGAAGGCACTTTTGATTTCTGGCACAGCTGTGAAATGAAAGGGTCGAATGTATTGCGACGTATTGCACATAAGAGGTGAAGGATGCTCTGGTCTGGTGCATAACTTAACAGTTAAACTCGGAGAGCTTGCAGCTACCCAGCGGGGAGAATCAACTAAGTCTTAATTTCATTGCACTCCAAACAAGTCGGCATAAACTGTGAGCTGCGACGTATGTTTCGTTAGAATGAGTGTGCAATCCGCACGCTGCACCTGCAGTAGTTGTTTCCAGCTGTCTTCATAAGCTTGGTACTTGACTTCGCCTAGTGAAGTTCCTTGCCTATCTTAGCTACCGCACTAGTGGATATTTCTATACCTGACTTTGATCATTTGGCTGAGGCTGGATTACTTGAAGAGGAGATTACAAAGAGCTGACCGAGTAAGGGCCAATAGGGTTCGTTCAGTGAAAGACTGTCACTAGAACAATCAGTGTTGATTGTTTACGATGCGGTTCAAATGTTTTTTCTGACTGATGAAAGGTCGTTTAGAAAAGGTAACTTGATTATACATTCCTAAGATACCCCCCCCCCCCTCCAAGGAAATGTAATTCTAGCTATAAGTATCACCCGCTTTGAGGTCTGCTGGCTTGTGCATTCGTGCTCTGTCCTGTTCCTCCGATAACAGCCCTTGTTACCAATATGATAACTGTACTTTCTACTGCACAACAATAGACAGTACTCAGAGTAGCGCTCTGCACACAAGAGTACAGCTATTTGTTCCTTTTTTACGCATGTTGTGTGATAAGGGTCTCGCATGATCTAGAAGATTTAGAGTGTTCGGTGACTAAGAATGAACATACCTGTGTTTTCATCACATATAACTCGTGAAACCAGATTGTCAGCCATATTCCGTAGTTAATTTTGACTGTAACTGGTTAGCCAGTGTTTTATGGACTGTATCAACTCCAGAGTCTAAAATAACACAGTGCATTTTGGACACTGCAATACATGACAGAGCAGATTCTAGGTTCATCCGATATATGCCCACGAAAACTGTTGCCACCGGTAAAAACCCTATGATGAAGGGCTATGCGAATGTACTTACACTGGTCTGACGAGGCACAGTGCCTTGGGTTACCTTTGATGGAACCAATGCAACAAGGTAAGAACACTTATGAATACTACTCATGTTAAGGCGAACTGGAATGGTGCCAAATACTGAACAAAATAATAACACGCGCTGGCAACAAACGTTTGCCGCTCTGCTTAACGTACTGTTACTGTTTCAACGACGGAGTTAAATTCAACGTCTTAGCACCAAATCACAATCCCTCTGAAATGAGAAAAACTGCTCACGAGTTGTAGTGGTGGTACGCACTGTGGCCCTCAACAGAAAAATTATTATTATTGAGAAATTAGATTGTTGTTCAACATTCCATGAAAAGGTATGCAAGAAAAACTTGGAAGCCGGATATTCTCCGGTGGGCTGATGATTGTCTGAATTAGTCAACACCCGGTGGGAACAAGAGGGCAGACGCAGAAGTTAACTTCGTCAGTGGCACAAAATGATCGGGGGCACGTGCTACAGAGGTAACAGCCTGTAACTGCCACGCAAGAGGCCATGTATCCGACCCCTCTAAGCCCATTAAGTTAGCAGTTGGTTCATACCAAATTCTTACACCCACCTGAAATCCTGCACCTGTGAAAAATACTAGGCTGGTGTGTAGTCCTTTAGGAGGCATCGTGAAAGCGCTAAACAAAGCGCTACGTGTCGATCCCAGTTTGTCGATCTGTGCCCAAATAAAGACCAGATCGTTCATATGGCTGGTTGTTTTGGAATCCGACTATAAATTATCTAATAACACAAAGCCTTTCAGCAGACCCTGCTTGAAGATATGTGACATCAAAGTATAAATGATTAAAAGTCAACCACAGTACTGACTGCTAGCTACCAGTCCAATGAAAGGATAGTCACCGAACACTCTAAATCTTCTAGATCATGCGAGACCCTTATCACACAACATGCGTAAAAAAGGAACAAATAGCTGTACTCTTGTGTGCAGAGCGCTACTCTGAGTACTGTCTATTGTTGTGCAGTAGAAAGTACAGTTATCATATTGGTAACAAGGGCTGTTATCGGAGGAACAGGACAGAGCACGAATGCACAAGCCAGCAGACCTCAAAGCGGGTGATACTTATAGCTAGAATTACATTTCCTTGGGGGGGGGGGTCTTAGGAATNAAATGCACTGTGTTATTTTAGACTCTGGAGTTGATACAGTCCATAAAACACTGGCTAACCAGTTACAGTCAAAATTAACTACGGAATATGGCTGACAATCTGGTTTCACGAGTTATATGTGATGAAAACACAGGTATGTTCATTCTTCTAATCTGAATGCCAGATAAACATCGTACTAGTTTATTTAGGTCAACCAAATGTTCCAATAAGTGACTGCAATCAGTATGATGGTTACCTTGAAATCTCCCCCTAATCCTCTAGCCCCATTTGTAACGATTGCTGTAGATTGGACCAAAAGAATCAACATCGGCCTCAAACAATGAGTAGTCACATACTGTAAATGAGTATGGTTCGCTCAAACGATTAGAATCCATCCGACAAAAAGCTGATTCTCCCCAGTGTGAAGGTGTAGTACTGTTAAAGGGATGAAATCCCTTCATTGGAGAGTTGTGTAGTAGCGAACCTCAAATAAGCGGTCATAAGCTATCACACAAGAAAGTGGTCCTCTCATTCGTACAGAGGTCAACATTTCCAAGCGTTCCGTCGGACTTTCTCAGCCGTTATTTGAATCTTTAAGAAAATGAACAACCACTTCAAAGCGGTTTCACCTTTCAACAAATGCCGCAAGACGGTTTTCAAACCTAGCAAACTAATTTGATTCTGCGAGAGACTCACCTAGCCAGACGTTATTCTCATGTTGCACCAGTAATATGGACCGTTACACACAATCTCACCTCGAAAGTTCGCATGTCTGCAACCGGGGTCCGACTCGTTTCAGTTAGTCAGTCTCAGCAGCTGGTTTTTATGGCGCATCCTCGGGGGGTATCGTGCCAATTATGAGTCTCCGCTCCTCGACCGTCCCGAATTGTATAAACCTTTTCTTGACGGTCAGTAAGGACAAATGGGCTTGATGCCAACTACAACCCAGCCCTCTCTTTCCAGGAACCCGAAGGTCTTTCTATTTGACCTTCGCGCATATGGGGAACAATCGTGCCTTCCTACCGTCGATTTCCTGTCTTGTCTTTCCCTGAACGGTGGTCAGGTTTCCTTGAGCTCCTCTTTCCTCTCCTACCTTCTCCAGAGACAGCAGTGCTGACGGTCGTAACCCGATTTCTCGATCAAGTGGAAGGTGCGGACGTCGGCCGTACGTCAAGATGAATGAAGACTTGTCTGTGGTTGGGTGGTCAACGCACGATGGGCTAACAACACCACATGCAGGATCACCTTCTCACTTCCTATGGCCACCAGCCATCCCATAACTTTTCGGTTTCTGCGCTCAATTAGGCCGTTTGTTTGTGGGTGTTAACGTGCCGTTCTTAGCCACTGGAAGTCCAGCTGCAGCAAACAGCACCTGAAATCTTCACTCCCAATGTACGGCTCATGATCATTTGGATCATTTTCGATATTCTGGTGGGCCACCATGTAATCCATGACGACTCCATTGATCGTCGTAGCCTGCTGAATTAGTGCGGCTGCCACCTCGATCCAGTGCGACGGTTTTTTGGCACTATTACCGAAGGTTTATCTCCAGTGGCTGTCACCAGAAAGGGACCCATGAAGTGAACGAACCAAAACTCTCATATCTCTGATACAGGGATATTTTCAATCGTTTCCTTTTTCATCAGCTGACATCGCTAACAGACCATAACATATTCCATATTTCATTATTTTAATCCTCATCCCTGGCTAGTAGGCCCTCTACCGTAGTAAGTCGTATGCCTCGGGGCACTCTGTGTGTGCCATTTCGTGGCATTCAACGATCAGCTACGTCTCAAAGGGGCGAGATGGCTCAGTGATTAGAGGGAAAATTTACTGACCAGAGGTCAGTGGTTCGAACATGGCCTCTGCCTCTCGACTTCTTTTTAGGCTTAGGCAACCTGGCAGTATACCAGCCCTCGTGCATCCTTCGGGTGGTATGGCAGCTAGGCACCGGAAGGGTGTTACGGCTGAAAGATTATTTTATTTCTTATTTACGTCTCAATTATTTTATTCTTATTTACGTCTCAAGATACGAGCAGTACGACATCCGAATCGATAGTATGCGAGATTCTTTCAGGCTCAGCCTTTCAAAGTGCTCGCGGAACGTCTTCGGTTCTCTGACTTCCTCCGTGTTCTCAATATCCCTCCCGTCTTAACTCTGTAGTCGCACCAGCCTTCAATGGTCCAGTTCAACGACCAGACCAGTGGCACTCATCATGATCTTCGGGGCCTCATCTCCAGCCTGGTCTTGGTGGCTAATCTGCCAGGCGGTACCCTTTCCCGGCACGGGACGTCGTACTCTTGTAACCGGAGTGCCCGGGGCGCGAGCTTTCCATGGGGATCTCTGGTGATTCTGATCCACTCAAGGGCTTATGATAGGTTTCGACGTGTAACCTTTGTCCTAGCAAACATGAACTTTACTTATCCAGGTTCCAGACGATCACTAAACATACATTCTCTCCCACTGGTTGAGTATTTCTCCTCAGTGCTAGTCAGAACATGATCCGTGACTCCATTTACCTGCTTTAGGACTACATGGATACCCCTGTTACCAGCGTCCGTTGAAACAATAAACATCTCCCCAACCCCGGACAGTTTGAGACTAACCTGCTGATCCAACATCCGCTCTTTAACACGTGTGGGGGCCTCATGCGCTTCACGTGTCCATTCAATCTTTCCATTTTGGCGGCGCAGCAATCGTGTTGAAAGCCTCGACAAACCGGATGTAGTACACTGCTCTGCCGAGATACTGCTTTGAAATGGGGGCTGCACAGCCCTGCATCTTGGCCAGCTTTCCAAGTAGTGTACCAACATCTATTTGATCCACTTTAATCTCACGCACTGTAACCGATCTTCGAGCTAGCTGTGTCTAGGCTTTACTGATTCGCAAGCCCGATTTAGGGTCACCACACTCAAACGACGGAAGCCCACACAGAATTGGTATTTCCCGTTCGCCTTCTTTATATGTACTACCGGGAGTTGTACATATTGTTGGTTCCCTTCCGGCATCGCTTGGACCTCTCTATGGACCATTTCGCGTAAATAAAGCCGTAACCAACCGTGAGTACAAGTTCTAAAGCGGTTAAAAGAGGGGGGATTTCTTGTTCGATCCACTAGCAGGAACTAAACGGATCCTCGTCGCCTGTGAACAGTTCAGCGTGGTTCTCTATCACGAACTGTACTGACAGAACATCACAAAATGGATTCTCCCAGAAACGCAGTCCGTTCCAACCAGCTCTTGGGTAACCTGCAAGCTTGACTGAGTCGTACTTTGTCATTGGTGTGTCCCGCTTCAGGTCCACCACGTTTCTGCACTCTCGAGAAGACTTAGACTACGACACCCTCTCGAACTTTCCTAGACCTTCTCCTAATCTTAAGCAATAATAAAAAATCGTTGCAAAGCAGTTTCGCAATGTTCGTACTAACCTTCACTTTTCATCAAATACTGGACGGCGCCTTCAAACCTGACTAGAAAATACTAGCATATTTCATCAGTAGCCTGGTAGATACTTTGTGGAATTCATTCGAGTACAAACAGGAGTGGTTCTAGACAGATGAATGAATCCTGTATGGGTGATAGGATTTCAAAGAAATCTCGTCATGCGCGTGGTCAGCAACAGAAATTGAAAGGCGGAAAACAAAGGAGAGACAAATAAGTAGGAACAGATGCCTGGACTTGCATTATGACTGTCCAAGTTTTAGTGAGCTAATGTGCTCAGACGGGATAACTGAAATTTTCTATTAGTGAGGACGGGCTTGATTGCGTCTGAAGACATTTCCACTATCACTATATGACACCACCAGTAAGAATTAAATGGAGAGGCTGAGTCAGGTCACTAGGTAAACACCGTGAGTCTTCATCTTTTTTGTCGCACCACAACATTCGATCCACTCCGATTTCATTAAAATCCGCTCCCCTAAATATCCTTTTCAATTATCATCGGCATCCAAGTTTTCGGAAGTTTAGCGTGATGACTGAATTTCACAAGAATCGCTTGTACCACGAACCATCCGTATGACCTTCGGAAGAGACCACAAAACGATCCCAATCAGAATGTTATCCGTGGGAATTAAAATGACAGTCAGGTATCGTGTGCGACGTATGCACTGGTTTATGGGTTTGTTTTCGGGAATCAATCCACTCAACCAAGCGATTTTTCGACGTGAAACAACGCACAATCCCAAGTTTGAAAAATTATGTCTGCTGAAGCGGAAAATTCGTATCAGAACCATTGTGATCACCATGTATACACACACAACAGTTTGGACTATGCACAAACTGTCGTAGTTTCGGAGAGGGTTGTGAAAGTTAACATGAACAGCAAAACCACGCTTCACTGCTTTTTTCAGTGGAAAAGGGAGTGAACCGAGAATATTTTTCAGGATGTTGGTACTCGGATAATCATAAACCAATGAAAAGGGCGCATACCATAAAATTAGCGATGGAAAATTTGCTAAATTCCAGTTTTATCACTGCAGTATAAACGAACGCTTACTGCTTGTTCAGCCTCGTCAGCTTGGAAAATGCGTTTCGGTGATGCAGTGGAACAAGATTTTGACATTTTAAAAAGAAACGGCAACCCTGGTTGAGGTGATTCGCGAAATATGCAGAACAAAGCTGGAAGAAATGGTGACGGAAAAGTAGACGCGAAAAGCCAAACGATGCTAAAACAGCAGATCACATACGGTCTTAAGGCAAGAAATGGCACGCGAGCGGTGCTCATTACTTGAGTACGTGCTGAAATCGTCAGGTAGATGTACCGCTCCGTTCAAGAGGAAGATTGCATGCGACCCGTTCTGTGCGCATTCGCCTAATGATAGACGCTGGCCAAAAGATTGGTAAGATGTGGAACCGTACAATGGTTTTCCCCCACTTTTGCCATCCCAGTATCGATACGCTTCACTAAGACGTGATATCCAAAACAAGTGTCAAGCAAGACAGGCTGCAACAAGCAGCATGAAAATGTAACCAAATTGAAAATCACACTGGGTTCGAAATTCTGCTTTGGGAGAGTACACTATTCACTATATTCAAGTGGGAGGGTGGAGGTAAGTTCACTCCCCGACAGAATTGGAAAAATCACCTAGTGCAATGAGTATGAGAACGTGGTTTCCATTGACTTTAAGCTAAATCTACTTGAGTAGGTGGATCGATTTTCCTGGTGTGCATCTGGAGAACTGCAGCATGCGGATGCAGCTTGATGGAGTAGTCAGATGTTGGGAATAGTCAGGTAGCCATACTGAGTGTTGGTAGTGTGAGGAGTTTTGGGATTTTTGTGGAGATTTCGTCCTGTAAGTGAAGCCAATCTATGCTGAAAAGCCGAGAAGCACTGTACAGCTGTTTCACCTTATTGAGAATCATCAGAAGTGCGCATCTCACGGCCGTAGTATGTTAATAAGCTTAGCTATTTCCTGCCACTCCACATACTGATAACGTCTTGGTGTGAAGCCTACTTTACAAAATATTTTTAGAGATACTTTGAGCATAGTGGTAGTGAAACACCATGCTGAAGTACACATCTAAACAGCTGATCAACTCAGAGTTTGTATTGTATGAGCGACAGAACTGTTGTATTTGTAGCAGTGACGACCTAGTCACCGGGCTGCTCATACGATTCGTGTTTCAGCCTTTGTTCACACTGTTAACTGGGGGCAGTTGCAGCGTAAAACCCGGGCTCCTGGGTTGACTTCATATTTGGAGGTTGTACGTTGGACGGAGTGATGCCGAAGTGATCATTAAAAACACGATAGCTTCAATATCGTTTCGTCTAGTAAATTGTGCTCCACTGAAAACGATTGGTTAGACTTGACCATAGAAGTGCATAGTTCAAACACTTCACTAGCTACAGACAAAAATACACCCATTCACACTAATACCAAGTTGTCAAATAAATCGTACGCAGTAGATCGGTTATTTAAGCACCCAAGTGCTGCTGGATGGACCCATGTTGTGTAAAAAAGGGTAATATAATCATGAATTTACTACCAAAGGGGGCGGAAGATTTCAAAAAACACTCTCCGGCATATTTGGTCCTGTACACACCTTAGATTACAGTTGTGAACTTCTGCCTCCTTCTTTGGGAAGCTTAAAAGGTGACCCGGTTTGAAGATATTCATCATTTCAGTAGATCCATATGTTGACATTTGCTTGTCTTTTCAGTGAAATAGCGTTCAACTAATTCGACCAACGTCCTTAATGTCTAAAACAGTTAGGAAAAGAGTTGTTCCTTTCGTTGCAGGTCTAGATACCGTATGATGATCAATTATTTTTACGTCAAATCTGGTTTGGGAGTGTGAAAGTCCAAAAAAATTACAAATCTGTGTAGTTCTCCGCAAAAGTTCATTTTTGGGACGAATCCCATCAGTTGCCATTTTACGCGTACAACCGAGAAATTTCGCGCTAAGCCGAGGAGACAAGCTCCTACTGATGACGTAAATATTGAACGAATAGGAACTACGCACTGTCAACAGTTGCATTACGGACAAATTGAAATAGGTCGAAGTAGAATGTCACATCAAGCGATGATCACTCGGGATGGATTCCTTGGTATGAGAAGTTATAAGGTCGCATTTGTAAGAATAGCCTGAATTTGCATACAATGGACAGGAGATTTGAACAGTGCCTGCCGTTGAAAAAAACCGGAGTGAGTTGGAAAACATTGCTATGAATTTCAGTCCTCTTTCTGATGGATACCTAAAAAGGGTTTGCAATTTCCCGGAAGTGCGCGCTCGGTTGTGGATGTCTTTTGAAGGAGGCGAAAGATAAAACTTCAGGATGAATCACCAAGAAAGATTAACGTCAAAGTTATGAACTTCTCTATATCTTCGAAGAGTGATGCCTGGAAGAAACTCAGTGCTTGTAATCCTCATATACTCGGAGGGACTTGCATACTGGTAGCTAATCATTTGAAAAGATGGACCGGACGTGACTTCCAAAAAAAACAATGAAAAAATACCCGAATCTCCACCATTCTTGAACTTATCGCTGACTGAACAACCCGATGTCGGAAATTAAACTGACTGGGTTGACCTCTAATTGAGGCTTCTGATGTAACTCTGGCGAGAGTTTGGAAAACGTTACTTCGGCAGTCATAACACAGTAATGGTGTAGGAACGGTCAGCTATCTAACGGCAGATGTCCATACAACTCACACAAACACCAAAATTCGATTTAATGCGGACCCACCATCGAAAAAAGTAGCGAACCCACATAAAAATCATTATTTTGTCATTGACTCCCTCTGAATCCTCATTTTTCGATACTTTACCTGGAGTGCGAACCTTACTCTTCTAACAGACAAAGAGAGAGGTATGCCGTGAATCTGAGATTTTATACCGGTCCAGGAAATTTGTCCCAAATCGTTCAAACTCTTCAATCGCGTTGAAACAATATAAGCAATTGATTAACTTTGTAAAATCATTTCGGCTTCCTACACCCAAGCTAATTTCTCGACCGGAAAGGTGGTAAACCACTTGAGCCAAACACATGCCTAATGACAACTGACGTTTGGGCGCTACCGCTCGTGACATAGACAACTGGCGCCGTTTGTTCGACGAGTGTAAGACCCACCGGTCCTAGGAACAGAGGTGGTTAACCGAAAAATACTTTACTGTGAGCGGAAGAATTCGCGATTTAGTAGTGGGCTGTGTAATCGTATGGCGCCGGTGATTGTTCTGTCAGGGCTACCGTACTATCGTTTCTGGGTCGATGAGGCCCCATACATTGTTGGCCCGTTTGTTGCTACAACGACTGGTGGTGACGTTTAGAAGTGTAGTAATACTGTTGGCAATTGAGAGTCCCCTTTTCGGATTAGTTTAGCTTCACCTTCGGAAGTCCAGGGTGCCAAACATGGGGTGAAACTTTCTTTAGGAAAATTTAGATATCCGTAAGTGGACCCGACTACAACAGCTAGTTTTTCTTCAATTTCAGTAAGAAATGCTTCGTTGAGATTCTAATTTAAATCAGTCGGATACTCGTGAAGTTTGTTTCTTTCACAACAGCACCAAATGCCATATTTAATCCCTCTTTTCTTCAAGAGTGGACATAGTTTTCGATGCGTTTACGGTTGTCGTATTAGCTGATATCAAAGTCCAACAAACCTTCCCTAGTTAGTTTTCAGCCCGTTCCGTCGGCTTCATGATTGGATCATTCAGCTAATAGGCTGCGTGCAACATCTAGAGTGTCGAATGCGGAAAGGAACTTCCAACGCTCGATAACTATGAGATTGCCGTCTATATGGAAAATGCAACAAAACAAAAACTCCCGGTGTGTTAGTTCTAAATATTTTCGGGATGACTAGCTCACAACTGATCATTGATTTCGCATTGTTTCGGTTTCAGCGGGTAACCATAGCTACTGGATTGCAATCCTCCCATAGTTTAGTGAACATTAACTGTATTTACAACTAATTTTTCAACCGAACTGTTGTTGGTAGTTAATTCGAATGAGCACTAAAAGCGTCTCTGTAGAGTCTCGGATGGCCAGGTTTTCAAACAGATCGACATGCAAGTATTTTTGCTCTATTCATTCGGTTTGAAAATGATGTCGGAGCAGTCCTCTAGAGATTATCTGGGTAAAAGTTGGTGATTGAACACCACAAGCCTCAAGTATTTCCAACCATAATAGCCTCTTTTACAGAAGATTTGGGAAGCTGGAATACAGCCGTTGGAACAGACGGCCAGAATCTATATATTGTGAACCCGATAGCGACGGTACTGCGACATTAAGTCCGAAGGATGGTGCATGTTGCGATTGGAGACCTGTCAGTTTGCTGAATACGGCTCTCAGGCTTAAGTCTCCCTGTAACCCCATAGTCTGACAATCTCTAACATGCTCCTGGCATGGATAGACACGAACCAAACGTGATAACCTCGGGCATGACCATAGCTTTAGTTCGGTGCTTCACAGCTTGAGACCCATAGATACTTACATATAATGAACACTATCTGTGAAGAGGCGCCAGCAGTATATTTATTCACTTTTCCTACTCTTGTATACGATGCGATTCTTCGTATCACTCCTTGGTTCTACCTGAACACAAACCACCATTTGACCTTGATGTCAAGAAGAATGGAGTCAAGTGGGCTTCATCTTGTGATCAATTTGTCTCGATCCGGCGGGTAGAAGCGTTGTTTGCTACTTACTTTATTTGTACGGGATCTCACCTGGAATCAGCAGTACCTGACCCAGTGTGTAAAAGCCGGTATAACATTAAGATTTGAGCTTTGTACCATTTTATTATTGTATTCATTTGTTCACAGAAATCCATTTGGAAGATTCAATTTCTGGCTGTTTCCCGCTCAACTTAAAGTAGTCCAACTGATCGCTCGGCAGGACCAATACCGAACGCATCATCATTTGGGGATGGGGCGTCATTTGATTTTTATTCAAAAGACCAGCTAGTAACTTTAGAAGGTTACTTCCATTACTCCTATGTGATCTCTGTTTGCCAAACCAAGAAGACATACCTCTTTTTATCATAGCTAAACATTTCCACCGAATCTAGCAATCAACTCAGCACGCAATAGAAGTGTGATGACACATAGTTGCCTGAACAAATAAACACTTTGTAGCCACGCTTATTCTCGTCACGTAACCCACAGACGCATCTACGTGACCATACTTGGATCCTAATGAATGACTTTGGAAAAAACACTGTTATCCAAATGTATATGCTTGTACGTAGGTTCCACGATATCATTGAACTTATCATTAATAAGACAAGAAATGTAACTCTAGGGCTCCAGAACGCAACTAAAACAAATAAACAAGGACTGTGTAAGAGGGAATTTAAACCAATCAAGTTGCAGGTAAGAAAAAAGAGCACACTGGTGAAACAACATCTTAGCATGTACTGTGAATACGAAAGCATTATGTACACGAAAGGGGTAAGAGAGTCAGTTCCTGTTCCGCGTCACACCCAACCGGGAATGGACTAAAAATAACAGAAAGTTAGAAATTTACCAAACAAACCTGATGGCCCTGTTGTTTTAGAAGTCTGTCCACTTTCCGTCCGCCGTGGCCCTTGAATGGGAGAAACACACAAAAGGTGAGCATCAATCTCCATCCAACAAGACGAACATTAGAACTTGGACCATGGCAACACCTTGAGGGGAACCTAAGCGACACCGGACACGAAATTCCACACAAACAGTGAGCTCAATCCAGACAGTCTTCACGGGTCCCGGCGGACAGTCGGTCTCACCGGGTATACACTAATAGTAAGGAAGCGCTAGCATCCATGAACCGGATCGTTCGAAAACCTATAGGACCCAAGTTACGGTCTTTTACTGCAATACCAAAAGCCGATCCAGCAAATAGGGGTGTATAAGTTCGTCCTTGAATCCACACTAAAGAATCAGGTATTCAGAAGATCGTGAGTATCTAAAGAATAGAAAATCCGTACGATGTTCAGGGCTGGAGTTCGTTCGTCCCAAAGTGTTCTGAAAGAAGAAAAATTGCCAACTCCCTGGAGCCACTAAACTTGCTAAATTTGCACTTGGTTTTCGTCTCGGTCGTTCCAAAGCAATGTAAAGCATGACGCTAAAAAATCGATCCATCCGAACAAATTAGTCTGTCACTTCAACCAAGTTTAGCATTGAGGAACCGGTGAAATATCACTTGAATAGCCTGGGGCTACGGTTATCTTCAAGTCCAGAGGTAATGATATGCCTAAAAGTAGAAGTATTCATAAAACCAACCCACAGGGGATCCTAACATTGCCTAGGTTGGACGAGATCCACGTGGACACAACAAAAATAGAACAGACAGTTCAGGTCAACATCACATCAGACATTAATCAACCAGTGCTCAGGAACATAACCTGCCTGCCTTGATCATTTGAGAAAATTTACCGTTGGAAAATGGTTCAACCTAACCTCCGATAGTCAGTAGCGTGTGAAACGAATAAGTGGTGGCGCATAGACAGACTGTGCGAATTCATAAGCTGTGAAACCGTTTTAGTCGGAGTACAGACAAGCGGAGTAAAGCGTAGTACGGTAACCCCGAAATTCCTATATCGGGACAGAAACGTAACCTAATTGAATGCTTGATTGAGACATCAATGAAGATATACTCCTCCAACTGAGATGCAAATTCTTGCACAGAGGATATTTTGAATGATTCGTGCTCCAACCTATGCAGCCTGTGAAGCGCCAACCTAAACACTGTTCATTTGGAAAGAAGCTCGTCCACATAAGATCCGAAGGTTGCTCGGTTGCTGAACTAGTTACCAGATGCCTGTTGATACAACATACATAGCCGCTAACCTGTGCTTCCACTTCAGCTCCAGCCCATTGTCAGGTTTCGTTTGAAGAACAAACTGCAATGTCTGCCCACCAGCCTCCGTATGTACTCATTTACATGATCGTGCCGAGCACCATGCTCTGGTCTTGCGGAACTTGCTGTCGACTGAAACGCCAGTACCAGTTATATCAACCAGCCACTGCCGATGACATTTCACCAACATTGGTAAGACTGACCAAGGACCAGAGCGCAAACAAAAGAGCAGCTTCCCAAACGAATGGGAAAAGCTAGCTGACTTTAGGTTGACTTTCAGCAAACCAAAAGCCAAGTTATCTTTTCCTTGGCATCTACTCCAAACAAGATAGAGTAGAGCTTCGCTCTTCATTCAGTGTCATAGCACGAACGAGTCGGCCACACAGACTGGAACTATTGAGGCAGTATTAATCGGCTGATGAAACACTTCAGCGTTACTCTAAGACTATCATTTTTTTATTGGTCACGTTAAATTTTAGGACCATAGACCAATAGACCTGTAACTTTTTCCCATTGTTACATACTAGATCGATGAAATTAATTCATACAGCAAAGTCGCCCTTCTTACATTGTTTGAAATGATCTAGGGGTCACAATGTTTACACTATTTGTTCTCAAATCTCTTGCCACCTGAAATGAGGACAGATCCCCTACAAGTCTCACTTCTCGAAACTTTCCGTAAGTGTGGTGATTGGCTGAACAGAGAGTGGTGGCACTCCCTCCAATCAATAAGGCTGTTATTCTCCAATGTATGCGCATCACCTTACGGTTGATGCCTTGCCATCAAAACTAGAGATGACAAAATGTAGATTGGGCCTTGAGTAACAAGTAGTTGCCTCTGACTACAAAAGGCAAGCTAAAAAAGCTCAGGGACGAATTCCTGAAGAGCAGCTCTGTGAAAATACCAGACATGGATACCTTACATCAGTTCAGCTGATCATATGCCACCCAAACAATCCCTGATACGACCACACAACGATTCCTGTCTGGAAAATGAGGGATCGGTGTGGAGCGTGATTATTGTTCTGTGACTGAACTTCTCCACAAAATATGATATTGTAACACCAAGTCAGCAAATGATTCCATTCGCCTGGTTGGGAATGAATAGAGGTCATCAGGTGGAAAAATCCGCCAGCTTATAATCCAGTGGACTTTTGGTTGGGATGCTTAGTCTGCTCAAACTGACGTTTCCGTCCCTTATCTGGCTCAGAGTAGGTCCATAATTCTTACAGGGATTTTAATGATAAGTCCCTTGGGAATCCGAAGCTGCCTCTAAATGCGGGATATCGATTTATAAGATTTCCTTTGCTGAGGAGAGGATTACTGGACGACAAATGTGCCCAGTCGCAAATCCGGAACTCGAAGGACTGGACTCTATAAACTAAAAAACTGGCACGACAGATTGGACCATACACTGATAGGATGCCGTCAATCAAGCTGAGGCACCTAGTACGTCCAAAAGTGCCCGCTGTTGGTAGCATTACATTTTGTTGCTATCAATCTCTACTAACAGCAAAATAATCAGTCACTGTTCCATCACATTAAACTGTTCAGTGCCCACACCAACAGAGATGGATTATTGACAAACGACGGTCTAGGATAATATGGCAATTGAGCATGTGTAGCCATACGTCTACCAGTAGAACTGGAGTAGTTACGTCCTCGAACTTCACTACGATTGGACACGCAACAATAATTGCAGCACAGCCAAAGCTCAGTGTCCACCGGTGAATCATTTTCAAAATTCCCACAATATGACAAACGCCTGAGGTGTTCTAATCTGTGCTATTTTAAGACTCCTTCAATGGGGCCGTTGAAGATAATTCAGCAACGTCCGTAACACTGTAACACGAGCTTGGTATGCTTTACAACGCGAGTTCCATTTTCTACCAGTGTTTCGGTGCTATTCTGAGTAACTGAACTTTCTTTTACCTCATATGCAACCATCTACTGGGGTTGCATGGTGATGGCAGCCTGCGCAGCCCAAGCTACCTAAACCGAAACATCCTTCTCATGAGTGTACTGTCATGACCTTTTGTCTTGAACGATACGCATAACAAATGCCCACTCCGTATGATGCTCATCCAGTGTAGGATGACGTCAACAGAGACATGACTGCTTCCAAGAGTCATATTAATCCACCAGAACAGAAGGTGCTCAAAATGAGGCTACTTAACAGAAAGATTCATAACACCGGTCCTCCGATTGGTTGGGCAACCACATTCCACACCTGAAGGACGCTCAGTAGCATGTCCGGAGCGTGTGCAAAACCGTATACATATACCCCTCAAATCATGTTGAAGAAAAACCGCTCATCGTGAATTTATGGATTTCAACGAGATTATTCAAATGAGAGTCATGTGAGCATGTGTTCTACAAAATCCCGAAACCACCAACACCGGAAACAAAATGTGTCCAACAGCTTTCAAGCGTCTGTGGTGCCACCTGACTGGCGGGTCAATCGACACAACCAAAGCATGTCACTGGGTCGTCGTTCGAAACGTTGGGCGTTCCGCTCACATCACTCAAGTGCGAACAGGTTCACCTGTTGAGACGTAAAAACTCGGATGAGTCCAGCGTGCGCTGGTGGAGTAGTGGGAACACGCCCGCCTCACATGTCAGACGTGCAGGGCTCGAACCCAAGCCATTGGATATGCCCTATCTATGAGCTCTAATAAGAGCGCAACTCGAGTCTAGTGTTTTTCCCCTCCGGTGTGGACCAACCAGGATAATTGTTCAAACCAGAGTCATGTATGTATTCTGCAAAAGCCTGAAACCACCAATACCTGAAATATAAAATAATCGTTCACCCATAACACCTTTCCGGTGCCTAATTGCAATGCCATCCGAAGGAATGATGGCTGAGATACTGTCAGGCCGCCCAAACCTAAACGGGATGAAAGAAGTCGAGATGCAGAAGTCAGGTTCAAACCACGAACCTTCATGTCAGTAAAATCGCACTTCAACTGATGAGCCACCTGGGGCTCGGCCCTTAAAAGCAAAGCCACTGAAACCGGCGACTTCCCTTAGGGATTTGTGGGGTGCTGATGGTTTTCGGAACGGATAAGACAACTGCACAATACTCACAGGCTCTTCAGCACAGAATACCTATACTTGAAGGGTTAAATCCCAACTGAATTAGAGAATGAGTTAGAGAATGGCTACATGAAGGAGGCCCTCTAAATGCACCCGATATTGTATTGCAGCACCAGGTTTGGTTTTTATGGAGAGTGCGTAGGCATTAGGGTCCGCGTTCCTCTGTAACTTTCCAATGTGCAACAAACAGCGTTGTCTACGACTTACCCAGTCGAGCTTTGACGGATCGCTGATTGTGAAGCTTTTTGGAAGTCAATTCGGAGCTTAATACTCCCTCAGTAAATGGAACAGGTTTCGACCGAACGGAATTGGGTTGTGGGATCGATTTAGCGGGTGGATGTAATCGCGGACGCTTTAAAATGCCCGCATAGCCAAGTGCGTCTCTGGAGTTCGGTTGTTGGTAACGGATGGCGGTCTGGACGCCAACCGGATTCGGGGAATCGTCTAGACGACTGAAGACTGATTCAGTGATCTGTAGAAATCAAATGAATGAACAAAGTGGTAGTACAAAATATTAATGTATAAAAGCATTGGGTAGCAGTCACTAGATATCGGTGATAGCAGCAACGAGCAATTACTGTTTCGCAGCGAGAAAGTTCGGTAAGGCTGGACAGCTGAGATGGATAAACATGCCTTCCAAATACATTCCGGAGACTTGCCGGCTAGTCGATTACTACAACTGGATACGAATGGGCCGCTGGGGCAATGTAAAGTTCCGATTCCTCACAAAGAGTTCGAGATACCCATAACTCAAAAGACCCTGCGAGATAACCTGTGGGAAACTGACATCTGCCTACAATCATATCCTATATTGCGTCCAACCAGATACAGTAATGGCGATGATGACCTTACTGTGGCATATCAACCGGACTGAATTCCATGGAATAAAAATGGTTCGTACTAAATCGCAAGAAACACACTCTCACAAACTCCATAACATTTAAACATGAAAGCTTTAAATCTCGATCAACAACTATTACGCCTCTTTTTAATCACTGTATTTAGGGAGCATTCAACCACATCGATCGGATAACAACTATCAATTAAGCTGTTCTAGCTTAACCGTTGCAATGTCGTACATCACTAGCTGCTGAAACTTTATTGAATGCCATCAAGCGATTGGTCCGCAACTTTGACAATATGAAAAATTGCCAGTTTGATGAAGGAATAAGGATACAAAAGGTGTTGCCCAGGTGCGATCTCGTATATTGAAATTCCTCCCATATTCAGATGTATCAATCATTTTGCCCTGTCTCATACGAGCTGGGATTCTGTCATCGCTTGCCTGACCAAAAAAACACAAGCTTAGTTAGGGATCAGATGTTAGCACAGTCAGGTACGTGAAAACTATGCGCCTTTGAAGGAAATAAAGGTCAAATGACGAGTCTCGATGGGGAGGGTCAATTTCAATGATACAAAATATGGGTTTAGAACTAGCTGATGGCTACGCACTTTTGTTTTTGTTTGTGATTCAGCCACAGCACGTACCGAGTTGTTCACGGTATTGTTCTTTCACAATTAAAGCCAGTTAGCGCTTTTAGCCTTAGTATACAAGAAAAGACTTCAAAGGTAAAGTCTGGAAATATGTTGGAATATTGGTAGCTCTGGTGCACTAAGTGGTAACTGTTGATCTGTTCACCGAGCAAGGCAGTTGATTCGCAAATGTTTCGTCACCATTCGAGGAGGCATCTTCAGTGTGCTGTTAGGTGGGTAGTCCCCATCGTCGTGCCTGCATTTATAGAGTTTACAAAAAACAGCCTTGAGCTGTAACCTAATTGGCCATTGATAACCTTCGCGCTTGGATTCTGGCTGGTCCGATCATAATCTGTGTTGCGTTATGGTTTGTATTCCTTGCTTCCTACGACCACACTACTGTTGAAATTGTCGTCCATGATTCTCTCTTCCGGCTAGCCCATTCGTGATCCGTATTGCGTCGTGCTCAGTCTCTTTGTCGTTTGATTGGTTGGTGGTGCATCTTCTGTTGTTAGTAGTTTGCTGATTGCTCCGTTCCCAACCGATAGTTTATATTCATGAGCTTGGTTGGTTAATTTTCAGGTCTCCTGTCAGTGGGTCTTCCGTTATTTCGGATCCGTTCGGTGAGCTTTGATGAGAGCTGGAAATTCCGGTTCAATTAGTTTGTCGCTTTAACTCTGATGTCTTTTCGTCTCAGTTCTCTTTGAATCCATGCCGAGCTCAGGGTTTTATAAGTCTGGATTTCCTTTGTCCTCACAGGTCGATAGACAGGATCGACCTCAATGCGTCTGTTTATTGCTCCATCAGCGGAGTGCCACGCCTTCACGAACTCGCTTTCTCTGTTCTTGCCTGGACCAGTATGCTGACGTTGTTCCAACCGAACTCGCGTTCTTCCGTCTTCGTGTACATAGATGAGCGAGAGTTGGTCGTATCTCCTCGTAGTGAGATTTTTTTCGTTAACTCTGGTTGACAGTTCCCTGTTTGTTTGTTTGTCCCACGTAGTGTTTTTTACAATCCTTGCGTTGAATTTTGTGGATTAAATTTGTCTTCTCCATTGCCTTTGCTTTTGATGGTGCTCTTCCCAGCGTGTCAGTCGGTCTGTGAGCAACTCTTATGGCATGCTGTCGTAGTATCCTTGCGGTCATCTCCGAAATGTTTCTGATTTACGGTAGTATGTCTGTTTTGCTTGCGCTTCCAGTCGTCGAGTTGGTTGACTTGCATTTTCTCAGAGATCTCCGGATGAAACCCCATGGGCAACCGGTTCTTTGAAAGATTTCGCATAAGAGTCTCTCTTCTTTTGCCTTGGATTCTATTGTGTTGTAGTATGTTTCAATCCGCTTGAATGGTGTCCGAATGCAGCTCTGCCTGTGATAGCTTGGATGGTTGCTGTGGTAGTACGGAATCTGATCTGTGTGTAGCCTTTCTGTAGACTTCAGTTGACATTTGTCCATTTGGGAACCTTGTGACTATGACATCTAAACCACCAGTTTGTTGTTGCTTTCCTCTTACATCGGGAACTTGTCATCAGAGATGTTCATCAATTAGATTGCTCGTCGTAACTCGCTCTTTTTGATGATGACAAAGGTATCGTCTACATACCTTATCCACAGTTTTGGGTTTATATATGGTGATACAATCCTCTCCGGTTTTTGCACTGTAATCTCAACGATGAACCCTGAAATTTGGGAACCCAGTGACGCTTCTTCCCATCGTTGTTCGTAGTATTCACCGTTGAATTCGAAGTGGTTAAGCAGAGGTTGAGCAGTTCACAGGTGTCTTTTCCCAGAAATCCGCAGGCAGGTTCATGAACGTCAAATAATTCAGTGACTGCTGTCTTTGCGGAATGGGGATCCAGTGATTTGAATAAGGACTGACATCAAATGAGACCATTGTTTCGCCCTCTTCTATTGTGAAGCTCTTTATCCAAGAATCGTTGTTGAGTGTTGCGATCAACCAATCAAACAACAAAGAGGCCGAACACGAGGCAATCTGGATCACGAACGGACCAACCGGAAGAGAATAATGGGCGACGATTTCAACAGTAGTGTGGTCGTAGGAAGCAAGAAATACAAACCACAACGCAACACAGATTATAATCAGACCAGCCAGTTGTAGCTCAAAGCTGCTTTTTGTAAACTATATAAACGCAAGCACTAAGAGAAGGACTACGCACCCAACAGCGCACTGAAGATGTCTCCTCACACATTTGCGAATCGATTGCCAAGATTGGTGGACAGATCAGCAGCCACTTGATCAATTACCAGAGTAAAGTCTTCCTTTCAGCACTGAAGCTGCTCTTTTTAATAAATGGACGGCATTTCTGAATATTTGAGAAATTATTGCCTTACGTTTATTTAAATGTGACTGACATCTTTCAAAGGTGGAAATAAAAGGGCATTTTTTTCTTCTTTTCGCATGACACAAAATCCTCGCGTAAGTAGGCGTTAGTGGATCGAACATTCTTTCAGCATAACACAAAACTCAGCAAGTAGAAAACTGTGTAAGACAGGTGCCCGTTATTTCGGAGTCTGAGCTGTGCGTCCCACTATCAACCCTAGTGAAGCATGATTCGTGCACATTTTGGCTAAAGCTGAGGAAGTCCCGTCTTAAAAGATTTAAGTTGCCACAGTAGTTTTCAGAGGTATAACGTTCCCACTCACGTCAAAAAGAAGCATACGCACAAAAGTTCCCACAGGATTGTTGTGGCGGCTAATCATCTGGTTTTACGGCTGACGTCCCCAGAGCGGAAGGTTCAGAATATGCCAGAGGCAGTGTTCATGCAATCATTTCTATGTGTAGTCAGCAGAAAGCAAATCAACAACTCATCGCACTTGTTTATCAAAACAGCAACGCAAGTTCAGAGTGAGATAGTTTTAAGCTTAAACTGGCCGAGGAAAAACACCAATGTGGACATATAAAAGTTCGGTCACCGGGAGAGACCAGATATTGCAACTCATTTGCTATCAAGGAGAACGCCGGTGTCTCATGTGGCACAATTTGTCACCGGGCCTCATCACTTGTCGGTGCAGCACCGGTAGTGCGTTACTGCGTAACGAAGCAGTAAAAAATAATCGTCTGGCTGTAGCACCCTTCCGGGGCCTAGCTGCCATGCCAACGGCCGGTTGCGTCAGTGAAAATGCTGTGAGGAGTAGATAGTCTTATTGATATCCCGACTTTGCAAAAGTAGTACACTATGGAAATCGATTTACTTCATCGTTGATTATTCTGTCGGAATCCCGTTCGGGCGCAAAAAACTCGTTTTAGGTTGGGTGTTGGATCGACTTCGTCACCGCTCAGACCTGCATCGAGATTTACGGCAATCCTCGGAAGGCTGTAAATCTTACACCAATGAAAAACTTGATCTGATATTGAACGGTTTTGATGGCAAAATAATTGTTCGGCTTACACAGTAAAGTAGGTGGAACGCACAAAAACAGACGGACTATGAACTGCAACGACTGATGAAGTAACCTATGCATAATGTTTAAATTTCTCACGCTGCTTCGGAACCATGCCAACCTGATGATCGACATTAAATGGCGAAGCAACCAGAGATTGCTTTGTCATCTTCGTTGAAGTATACTTACGGTTGCATCTTTTCACTCATTAGAAAATCGGTCAAATTCATCACGTAGTTTAACAGTCCTTCGTTCATATACTTTCGAGCCCCAGTGCTAAAAACGTAAAACACTCACCTGACGTTTTGATGCTAGCCTGGCCTTCATCGGCATTGCATTGAGCATGGGAGCCCGGATAACCTGTCTCGTTATCGATAGTTTGGAAGGAGCCCCCCCAGCAGTTGACGTCTTGCTGCTAACGCGGCTTTCACACGCCGGCGTCGGCTTCTTCGCCACCGATGGGGATGTGCTAATGCTTCGTGCGACCAACCGCTGGACAACCGCCGTTTGTTTGGATGGTTGTGGTGGAGCTTCGATCTGCTCAGTCGGCGCACCGAGACGTCCGAAAACAGATCCTTTCAGGTTGGATGATCGAGACGCCTCTCTAGGGAAACAGGTTAAAATAATGATGACGGGGACATCAGTAGAACATTCAACCGACTGAGTGCGTAACGCTGATATGTTTGTTTGGCATTTGTTAGGAGATAGAAGTGCCTGTTGGTCACGTTTCAGCACAAAAATAGTCGACGTTGTTAGGAGCACATTGAAGGCAAATTCACAGCAGACATCAAGCTGTCCTATGCCGGTACTCAATAAAAATATCGAGAGTTGAAACTTAAAACTTTTTTTAAAAAATCTTAGGGGCGAATCGAACATGGCTGCTTAACAGCAATTTTCACATAAAGTACTCGCCCTCCATGATATAACAGTCCCACAGTGAAACAATTTTCAATCCGCTCGGAGGCGAACTTTCCCAGAACCACACAGGAGATGCTTTGAAGCCCTTGAACTGAACGTTTCATACATCCCACAACGAAAAAATTGACCATCAAAACCACGATGTACATAGAGATTGTCATATCTACCAATGTGTAACCACATCAGACAGCTGATCTAAATAGCGTTCAAAATCTCCCACAAAGGAGACTCTTCATGAATCAGATGATCGACAGCTTGGCCAAAACTGTGTGTTTGTAAACACCATATCAAACGGCCGGTGTCTGGAAATAGGAGGAAAAGTGAAAAACGCGATAACAACAGACCTCCAGACATGTGCAGCACTTCTTCTGTCCACCGCTACTCTGAGTAAGGACTCCCTCTTCCTAATATGATAGAAAAGGCTGTGCAGATCAATCGCATGGGATAAATCGTTTGATCTTCAGTGATTCAAAAAAAGCTTGCTTTCGAGGTCACAATACAGAACAGGCAACATATTATAGTGAGTTCCCTAACATGATTACACTTTTTTTGGTCATGTCCCAGTCCAACAATACTGCATAACAAGTGATCGCTCTCAATGGCCCAAATACCGCCGAAAATTCTCGTCGCTACATACGCGCCCACAAAACGTTTTAGCTACTCGTGAGTAGTTAATCTGCACACAATTCACCTCATTCAATAGAGCGGTTTCCAGCGTCGGCTACTCTGTGCCGAAAACTCATTGAGCTTCAGAAAACTGCGCAAGAGCACCGAACTCACAAATTAGCCAAATGTAACTTATGGGCAAAGACCTCTGCGAAAGATGCATCGCATCACAACAACCCTTGGACTAGCCATCACTGGTAAGGCTGACTGGATTTTTTGCAACATAAACGGACTGCCTTTTCAAGATGTCAAGAAACCGTTCGAGGTAACCTGAGCATAAATGGAATCGTATCACTAAAATTTCAAAACAGCTCTCTTCCCCAGGTGACCATTCTCAGGTTAAATGGAAATCATTTACTCTGAGCGGAAAGAGCGCTAAGTTTGCAGTCACGTTGCAATCGCCTACAATAAGCAATTTCCGTCAAATGTGGTAAGTTCCCTGGAGGAAACGCTTCTATTGATCCCATGAATCCCTGCCATAAAAAATATCCTAGCATGCAAGGATTATTTATCTTCACAACACATTTTCTATCCCAGCCGAGTAACGGCCCCGGCAGGTTTTATTAATAAATACTAAAATAAATTTAGGGGCCCAGTGGCGCAGTGCTATAGAGAGAACCATTAATTGATCCGTGCACATCGACCCGAGTAACAGGACTAAACAGGCAAGCCCACTGAAGCTGTTTTGCTATTAGCGGAATATACTCACTTGCATACCAATTTGGTTTTGACGTGAGACTCACCTGGACCCAACTGAATCTCTCGTTTATGGCACTTTTAAGCAAATGAATGTGCTGCACCAGGCAGCTGATGTTCCAGTTGATACGAGGTACGATAAAGCGATGCATGTGTAGACGTAATACACTACTCACGAGGGTGCTGAGAACTCTTGGGGTACTCAAGATGTGTTGTCTGATGATACGCTTGTGTGTTAGTAGCTTCGAATCTCCACGACCAGTAAAAAGCGGAAATATTGCCTCCCATGTAGTAGGAGTAGTGAGATGAAAGCAAAACAATCGCATCTCAGCCTTTGTATCTTTTCGGTAATGATCAGATACCAGGGTTGGAGACGACTCTATGTTGTGTAAAACTTAGTAACTTAGAGGCAGCTTCAGCAGAGGAGGGATGACCGACCGATACGATCATGCTCTGCCAGTTAGTGGGAAAATGCCGTCACAACCGATGTGACTGATTCCGCATCTACGACACGGTAAGAAACGGCCCAGTGTGTGGCACCGCGGTAAAGGAGTTATTTCAACTACATACTCTACAAAAGCAATACACACTCAAGTAACTAGTAAACAGGGTGAAGCTCTTCCAGCTATGGTATTTCGGCCTACTCCAAATGACCAAATGTAAAAATGTGAGCTAGTGTACAGCCGACGGTCGGAATAGCAGTGTTGACAGTACAGTGGTCCCTACCAATAATTCGTCTTCAAATCTCAAAGCCCTCCAGAAAATGGATCACAAGTGCCGGTCCCACCTTTTCCTACATGTTCGAAGAAACAGTTATCCAACCCAGAAAGCGAATACCAGAAAAAAAGTAAAACCAGAACATCTTGGAAGTGTTTTGTCTGCAGGAATAATGACACTCTCCTTCCCCATTCCTACTACATCAGCCAGCTATAAATTGAAGCTCTCTCCGTCAAGTCAAGAGATCTAAAAATAATCCATTACATATACTGTGATTTAACTTCACACAGATATTAATGCAAATTAATTAGAGCTCATTTATTACAGTAATCCGCCAAAAATGACTGAAAATTAATCTCTCCAGGATGTTACCCCCTTTCTAGGGGGGGAGGGAAATACTTGGAAAACACTGACGGAAAATGTCACTGTGGAGTATCCAGAGAAGTGGCTTATATACAGATGGCCTTACTAGGAAAAATGACGGTTCTTCAAACACCAACTTACTTGGATAAAATCACCCTGTATCCGTCAGAATCCTCTACATCACTCTCCTCGAAGGAAGTTAGAGCCGATCGCGAATTTGACTTTATTCTACCATCAGTTACAGGTTCTGTATTCTTTACAGGTAACTTGGATGAGGTTTCTGGACACGGTCGGAAAGGGAACATAAAGCTTGTCAAGTCACATGAACTGATATCTGGTCGAGATCAACGAAAAGGTATCAGCACCACCAACGAAGAAAATGCGAAGAGCTAGTAGAGACAGGTGGCAGAAACTGCATGAAATTGGTGAAAAATTGTAGGGTTAATATCCCAACAAAAATAAGAGGCCTTCCCATTTTTACCATGAATTCTACCACCATTTCTTTGCCTGGTTGCCGATTAAAAATAAAGCTTACTTGTGTTCGTTAGATGAGATCGAATTTCTAAGATTTTTGTTTTCACTTTCTGAAAGCATTCGCCCGAAGCAAATATCAAAACCGAAAAGTGAACATCGACTGGCATAAAAAAAATCACGCAATCATCGAAAAATCAGCCTCAGTTTCAGGCTGACGTACTGCCACCGACAACAACCAAACGATTCGTAATCTCCTTCATACCCCTCTGTCAAGTCAAGGGTTGGCCACCTCTCTGCTTCCGCCACATGTTTGTCTTGAGACATCCCTCTTTAAAAACGACCAGCGACGCATGAATAGTCTACAATTAACAAACATTATAAATGATTGAAGAAAAGAAGAATGGGGAATGTCTTGTGCATTGTGAGAGTAAGCCCAGCATTAGAATCGTCACGTCTCTGTCTCTGAATAATGGTCAACTGGGCTAACTAGATGTTCCAACCGAAGCCATCCGTGCATCATGACAATCGCCACATAAACCTTGCTATCTCTCGGTATTTTGCGATATGTTACCGAATAAGTAGAAACAATCATGGGGGGATCGTGGAGTTTGGGGTGGCTCCAAGAGAGAAAACCTTATATAAATCTGGTTGAAAATGCTTGTCGTCACTTCCCTGGGAAAGATCCTTGAAGGCTTCGCTCAAAGATAGTTTCTGGGAGCCAGAGTGAATTAACCTTCGGGTATTCCCGGATTTATGGGACCTTACCTAGTTCCTGACTTCCGGGTCGGCGCACACGCTCACTTTCGCTTGGCATCAGATGGTTTGTCAGGTCAGGTGATGATCGGGACCGGAAGGGATATTTCTCCGAGGTTTAAGCAGTGCCACAGTTTTGTATGATATTCAGTGCTTCAGTGGCCATGGTGGCGCCGTACCACAGGCGAAACTCCCAGCACTGCGCAAACAGGTAGTGATCCCGGTCCAGCATGAACTTACGTTTGATGGTGGATCGGTTGAAAGAGACTCCAGAAAACCATTCTGGTAAATTCGCCTAACATCCGGATCTGCCAGTCTTTCAGTTGCCAGGGGATTTGTCAGCACCTTACGCGGCCATAGAGAACGAAGGAAAAAGTTACACCTGACAAGCACGTGCTCGGAATCCACAAATGTGTCCCAAAACGAGTGGAAGTCAGTTATTCATCCGTGCCATCGGTAACTGATGGCAATGCGACCGATCTGAGTTCGTAACCCAGACGCCGTTAGAAGACACCATGAGGCCAGAGGAATTCAGCTAGTTCAGAAGTTAGTACTGCGTAAAAACAGTCTGCGGTCAGAACACAACTAAGACAATGGTTTACCATTGTTCTCGCCTATCGAGCCCAATCCAAGTCTACCACCTAATTGAGTATCAGATGCTCTAAACCTTCCCACCTGTGTATTCGCGTCTCCGGCAACCATAAAGATATCTAATCTTTTAGCTCGCCGAAAGAGAGCATTCAGGGGGTCATAAAACTTGTCCTTGGTGTGAGAGGAAGAAAGGCGTCAGCAGTGACCTGTTTCCGCTCACCCGCTCTGACGTATGCAGCAAGTAGTGCGACCTGGCTGATGGCACCACGGGACGGTAAATGTGGCATAAGTTCATTTGTATGTGTATAATTCATGGTTGTACATGGGTTGGTATATTGTCAGAACGCCAACACCCAGACAGGAGGACGATTAGGGTTCTCAACCAAAGCCTTTGGCTCAAAAGCCTGACCGGAAAACAGCAATGTTTAAGGGGGATGCAAGTGCATTTCGGTCTCAACGGAATAAATCGCTGTACATGCTCTAACCCCAACATGGAAGGCCAGGAGACATTGTTCGTTAGATCACTAATCATTGACCAAACTTGGATGAGACTGCGACCGTCGCGTGGACACCCCCAGTATAGCACAACGGGTAGCGGAGGCTCACAAGCCGTCACACCACAGGAAGACCCAGTCGCTTCGTGACCGGTCTAGTCTCTTTGTGACGCCAATAGTGCACTATGAGTTCGTGAGTGTTGTATTGATAGCCCTACAAGAGCCCACAGGGCAAGAAAACCTGAGCGCATCGGCCATTGCCGCGTACGCTTTGTGCACCTAGTCGAACCCAACTGTAAAAATTACACCGAAGATCCTCGCATGAAATCGGCATCATGTGTTTCATGAACGTTCACTAGTAGGGATAAGTGACACGCGCCTCACATTTATCACACAGGTAATGTGTAGATAGTTTTGAACAGCAGTTGCGACTATGCGTAAACAAATAAAATGTTATTCTTCGTAAATTAAGCGAAAGAAGCAAGACACAAAAACCGACAACTCTCTTGACCATACGCGAGTGGCAATACAAGATGGACTATGTAAACGCCATCCAAAAAGATCCACGGCCCGAACAGGGGAATGTCGTTTGGTAAACTGCCAACAAACAAACAAGTCCGGCTCGTTTCTGTAAACATAAGGCGGTTGTCTAATGGCAAGCCCATTGAGCAAACAACACCCCTTGGTTGTGGTCCACATTCGTAGGAAACTTCTGAGCATTTCTTTTTGTTTTGTCAGCCCACAAACATCAATGTGATCAGCTTGACTGAATGATCTAGGAATGACAATTACGCGCTCATACCCAGTTGGCCACTTCTCACCACCGTTCACGGCTTGACGAGTTCTTTCTGTAGTATGACGGGTCGACTCTATCAGACAGCTCTAATGTTCTGTCATTGACGATGTTGGTTGATTTTCGTTTTTCGGATGGATCAGCCTACAGGAATACATACCTTGCAAGAAAACTTATCACAGATACAAATGTAGCGCCGATGTTCGATCACCAAATTTCCCCCTAAAAGGTAAATTACCAATTAATAGGTATCTAGATTTCAACTCCTATCTATGGATAGGATTCCTAAATATTTCGTCTATTTACTGGTGAATCGCACATAACTTGTGGTCAATCGCCAGAGTCCCAAGTTGAATCCATCCCGGCAGACCGCTATGAATGTAATCAAAACCTATGCTAATACGCTAGCGTATCTCACTAACTTTGCAAAGGACATGATATCTAGTTCTTTGGCTGTCCAACTGCTTTGTGGAATTTTCGAACTTAACTTTACTACCATTTGAGAGACACTGAGATTACTGGTTCCGTAAGGGTACAAGAGAAAGAAATGCCCTTTACGGTGGTTCCAGCTTCTACAACTTCGGGAATGAAAGCAACGCGTCCAAGATGATGGCCAAATCCGTGCACTGGCGGCAAATAGTTCGGTATAGCAGGAAGTGAGAGCTACACAATATAGACAATAGTTTTGATTCGAGACCACCACTAACTGAATGATACTGTCATATCTGTCAGGGTCAATAACCACTGGCTTGTCTTTTTCTACCAAGCTGACGCCAACTGAATACTCAGAAAAGCATAAGGGAGCCCGTTTCCTCCTATCATTGTATACGTGGACACAACCAATCACGAGCTTCCTAGAGCACAATTCGACTACAAACACTCAAGAAAAATTCGCTATCAACAGTACCGATGCTCTGACCACCACTACAGACGATGTGAACCTATTCACAATCTAATCCTAATGGGACAGTTTTCAGTACACTGAGAAAACAAAGAAATCGTTTACCTCCGGTTCACTTGGAGCTACAAGACAAACATTATAACCAGAAAACAAACGAAATGTGCACACCAAGCGACGTACATCAAATAACGACGAGTGTGAACAACTACTTTGAAAGCATCTTTTGATTGTGGCCTCACGATACTCATGATAGAAGACCATGCGTCCAAGAAGCCTGGACTAATAACAGATGAAGAATGGCTGAAGAACCTTGCTTTACAACTTGTTACAGTTGGTTATTAAATAGAACAAGCAACCTGAACAGTTCCGAAATGAGCTCTGAAAGGTTATTCGATTTCACTTCATCTACATGTCAACACGTCATTTCACATCATCATGTCCACAAAAAAAGTAAGGTAAACCTAGTGGAGGGCCCTTGTGGGTATTCAGAAAGCCTTGCGGACAGCCAGATACATTACTAGCGATAATGTGAGTGTGGTCTTATGAATGTGCAATTTACTCTAAAAGAATTTCATAGGACCAACCCGGTGTTCCAACAGGTACACAAGTCAGCACGTACAATCATATCTATTGGCGGAATGGAGGAATGACAAGGTGGGAACTAGCCACTCATTTGGCCAAGTCAACGATCGATCCCAAAAAAACCATACATCTAGGCACAACGGTAGAGATTCATTACGAAAAGACAGTTTTTCTACCTGATATAATAAACCGGACTGCAGCGCCGCAGCTTGGATTGTAGGCTTAGTAGTATCCGTACTATCAGCGGAAAGACTGGAGGATCAACCAGTTGGTTTAAAACGTTAGGTGACATACCAGGCAAAGCACAGTATTTTCCAAGTTGCGAATTTCGTGAACTTATGGAAGTCGTTACTTTAACTGACGCAACAGGGTGTTTGACTAACAAAGCTGATGCCCTAACATATCCCAAACAATCTCGAATGCCGAACTACGATGCACCGGAAAAGTACGCATGCATGGAGGCATTACATAAATGCATACCAGTTCGGCCCGGTTACCAAAGATACAATGATTAGGTTGTCGTTACACGACAAAAAGCAGTCACTGTGAAATAGATAGGTTGGTATAATTCATTTGACGAAACCACCGCAATTTGAATGGAGTTGAAACGCCGTTCATTCTACGCGAAATTTAACTGCTAATAAAAGTTAGTTAAATAAGTCAGACGCAACTCCGTGAAGGGACCCACCTCGTTGTCGCATATTGGCCAGAATGCGTTGTGTTTTTGCAGTTGTTCCAGTCGGATACTTTACAACATATTTTCCTTCGACTTCCGGGGTCATTCTCCTGCGCACAACAGTTCCGGTGGTACCTTAAGGAGAATATTACATGCAGTAGCAACGGTTACGCACTGGATGGGGTTGAGAACTGTACAGTAGATGGTGACTTGTTTTCAGCTTTGGATGGTGGCTGAATGGTACTCGTCATAGTGGTTGAAGTAACATTCGGAACAGTAGCAGCTGGATCCTGTGAAGAGTGTACATATAGGTCGACGGCATGGGGTTACCTCATGTCCGACTTTACGGCATTGTTTCAGAATGGCGATTATGTCCCCAATCACATTAATGCCCATATCCTTCAAGTGCTCCTTTTCTAGATCTGCAACCAAGGCACCTGTAATCCGATGGTCCACGAATATCTGAGCGTAAGTCTTGCGTACAGCTGCCGGTACACCAGCAGCGGTGAAAAATTCTATCCATTCGGAAATATCTGCAAAGCAGAAGTTACAGTTCAGATACGAAAAAGAAACCGACAATAAATCATTGGGCGATACTCCATAGTTATGTAGTAGTGCGGTGCTGAACTCAAAAAAAAGACTGGTAACCATGTGCAGCTATTCCAGGAGGGAAACATCGGAGTAACATCTGCCCTGATGCGACCGCATTGCCTCCTTGAATCACCAGTGGGTTTGATGGGGATCTGGAGGCCTTCCCATTGTTTCACCCAGCTTTCCAGCTACATGCCATATCGGTTTTTGAAGCAATTTCGGAAACGACATTGTCATTGAATTTCAGAGAGATAAGAATTAGAAATAGATCGTAAGTTTCCGCAAGAACAGTACTTTAGGCACAGTAATCCACAGAAACCTACTAAGAATCTATGTAGTTCGTCATTTCAAGATCTTAGGTTGGCTCGCCAGTCCTCGAATCAAACGAAATTACGGCACGACATTAATTGTCGCCCTCTTCTCAGAGGTTTCTCATGCTCATTCAACACCAACTACTTCAAGAAAAAGGTCCACTCCACTATTTCCATTATCATCCGAATCCCCACAATCCTCTTCCCACGAGGATCAAATTCCCCCAAGATACCAACTTTACCTAACTACAACCTGCTAGTTGTGTAGGATCTCGGACTTTGGTTCATAAATGTGGTCACTGTCATATAACAATGATAATTATCGTTCAGCTGTAAACCCCTTTCAGTGCCTAGCTGCCATGCCACCAGAAGGAAGCGCGAGGACTGGGATACTACCAAGTCGCCCAAAACTAGACAAGGAGAGTCGAAAGCCAGAAATCGAGTTCGAACCATGGACTTTCCGCGCTCTTACCCCTGAACCATTTCGCCCATCCGGTTATTCAGCTTTACAATAAAGCTGCCGGAACGCGTGTTCGTAGGCATGGCGAAACATGCCTCTGCGGACAAATGACGTGAGGCGTCTTCAGGTTTTTGTTGGTGTCGGATGGCGTCAACGGATTTGTACCGAGGCAACTAGAAAACCGGTATTTGGTTGTGCAACAGACACTTAAGTCGCGGAAAACATCCAACACCAACTACTACGGTGACTCAGCCATGTGCTACTCATGCCGAAACACCATCCAACAAGATTAACGTTGCTTCCTGTGCCTTTTTCAGAATAGCACAAATAGTGAGATGCACTTAGCAGAAGGGTAAGAAAGAGATTACAAGGAGTTTGGGTGTTTTCGGAGCGCTACGCTTTCCAAGATGGGGTCCCCGCGACCTCGTCTGCGCTTGGCTGGATGCACTGCAAGAAATGGCGGCTGATCGGTGTGAGTAGCGTCCTTGTTTTCGTTCGCTTGCCGGATGACCTAACTGAGCAATTGGAGGCGCGGGCACCTCGGAACGCTTGTGACAGGCTATCATAAGATCCCATCCCATCCCTCACCCAGTCTTTTCAAATATAATTGAAATATAGCTAAATGATTATAATATAATTATAACACGATATAAAATGTGTAAGATAAACAAAGTATGTATGATTATCATATAATTATATGAATTAAATGCAAATAGATAAAAATTTGTGGTTGTACAGCGGTGAGGCATCAGAGTGTTGCTGACCCTGAGTCTGATGATGATGATGATATGATGATGATGATGATGGCGAAGAGTCGTCAAACTTCGACTTGCTCTCTATGATTTGAAAAGAATGTTCACAGTCCCCCACAATCAGATTCTGTGGTCGACTGGATGATGAGTAAACTGCCAAAGGATACAACGAGCTGTAAACTGAATCAACCAAGGAACTCCAACCGGCGGACAATATAGTTGTTCACGATTTTGGTCACCGGCCTACAGTATGTCCCTAACAGAACCTACCTCTGAAATCCATTCGTGAGATAGACGCTTCAGAACTAAAGTACGACGGACTATTTACGGACGGAAGTGGCTGGAAAATGTTTGCGAGTTCTGATACATTGTCTCAATAATTCTTTCAAAAGACCAGGCCAAGGAAGTCATGACCCACTTGAACAAAGCCCGTAAAGCCTTCTCCAACTGAAGTGTATGATATGACGGTGGGATGGCTCAGTAGTTGGAGAGCAAATTTACTGAATGACGGTTCCATGGTTCGAACCCCATCTCTGCATCTCGACTTCTGCTGTCTAGGCATGTAAATCGTTCACCTGTACCACCCTTTCGGTGCCTAACTGCCACACTAGCAGAAAGAAGCACGGAAGCTGGGGCACTGCCAACTTACCCAAGCCGAGGAATTTGAGAAGCAGAGGTCGGGTTCGAACCACGGACCTTCTGGTCAATAAATCCGCGCTCTAAACACTGAGCCATCTCGGCTTGGGCAACCTGGCACTATCCCAACCCTCGTGCCTCATTCAGGATACAGCTAGGCACCGAAAGGGTATTATAGATGAGCGACGTAAAATAGCAGAAAAATAATCTAAAAACCAAGGCCGTGTCAATTAGTCTACCTTTCTTCTGCTAAGACTTGTCCGAATCTGACTAAACAACTTGAATTCGCGTGACTAGTGAGGCATATATGCGTGTGCAAGAGCAGTGTGGTATCTCGTGGCCAGTAATATTCAACTCCATCCTCTGGTTCACTGGGGTATCTTGATACGAGTGTGGATAGTACTAAAGTAGGCGACCAGCTACTCCCAACAATATGATCTCTGGTATCTGGGCAATTCACGGGGGAAGATGAGTCTGTAGTGTCTGTAATCCGTTGTCACATTTACCATTCTTCCTGAACCTGAACCACACTTTGTAACTGTCGTTCACATTGTATCATGACGTTTGTTTTAATGTTACGAATACACAATTTTCCGGCGCGACCTGCTGACTTCTTGCTGAACGACTGTATTTACGCCCGTTGAACTGTTTGTTGACTGTTGAACCAGTGGGACTAAATCTCTGTGTTTGTGTCAACTGTTAAACGTCACAATAAATCCCTGTGACATTTTTTAGCCGTGAATAATTTCCCTACCGTGGAATATATCACTCACACGGAGCCATCTGCAGGAAATCTCGACGAGTGAATATTTTCCTCTCACAGCCAGTTACTGCATTCGGATCGGTGTAGTGGACTACTGAACCTACGCATTCGTGAGTCCCCATTTGACTACTCATTCCTTTCCTATTGTGATTTTTGTGATTTTGCATTGGTTACATTTGCTTGTTAATTTATCCGAACACGCTGGTTAGGTCCCCCCATTTGACTACTCATTCCTTTCCTATTGTGATTTTTGTGATTTTGCATTGGTTACTTTTGCTTGTTAATTTATCCGAACACGCCGGTTAGGTCCTAGTCCGCTACAAGTCCATTGAGCCACAAACTCAGTACCTAACTGCCTATCCCTCAGGCAAAGTAAGTAACTCGAGGCACATTAGCGGGTTAAGGCACGAAACTATTAACTGAAATGTCTGTAGTTGGAGCACAAAACCAGCTTTTTCATCACCTATGTCTAGGTTCGGGCAACCTAATATTATCTCGGGCCTCATTCTTACAGTGAACTAGGCGACAGCTATGAACCGACAGAACGCCTAAGCTGAACAAAAATAACGTATTATTTCCTATTAAATTCAAAATGGACCTGACAGTATACGTACCTCGCATACCGATATCCGGAGCCAGCAAAGGACGCAATAGTTGTTGGAAAGTCGCTCCTTCTGATTGGTTGATGAGGTTGTCGTTTTTGTCCATAACCCTGAAGATTTGGTTTTGTTGAGGGGGGTACCACGACCAAAATCACTCATTGGAAGCAAAACCAAAGTATTTTAGGTGAAACTATGAAGTTTCCGAAGTTGCGAAACTTGGGGGAATCAGTCTAATCCACTTACACGTTTTGGTGACCAGTTGCTCAGCCTTTAGTTTAGGTACGTAGCCATTACCAACTCGGATTTCATCGCCGGGTTGCGCAGTAAATTACAAAATCAAAAGTTAGCATATTGAAACAAACGATTGTGCTATAACCACTAACCCACCACTACGCGCAACTACGCACTGATGATGTTACCTCGATTGGTGATGAAACGCTTGCAACCAAATTACCCAGCTCAGCGAACAAGCCAACTAGCATCCACAGAATGTTCATCGCAAATTCTATCCACTGAAATAGTGGAATAACGATCGCATGCGTAAAACCCATTAAACGTAACAAAATTATGTGAAACTGTTCAGCGAACTTCGGTAAAACAGACTTTTTCAGAAGCTCGCCCCCTGTCTAGCACATAAATGTAAGAGAATCTGATGCACTGTGCAGTACTGACGATAGTATGTTCCTCCGTAGATGATTTCTATTGTCTGATAGCCGATAGCGTAGCGTTGTGAAATAACTTCGGTTGATCAACGACATTTCTCATTGGAAATAATCGCGCTCTGTGGGTGGAATACATCATCAACTCACACTTTATTGGCGGAAAATGAGGCCATCCATTGCCGGTCATTATGATGACTGCGCGTACTGTCGTACTGTGGCAAATTGTCGCAGCTGCTAGGCCCGTGTCTATGTGAGACGCTGATCAGCAGGCCTCAGCTATGCAGTAACCTAATCCACGCCTAAACATGCACGGTCACCTTTGGCAATTATGCCCCTTTTGTTTATTGCTTGCATCGATGCAAAAGTGATGTGTGTGTTTCAGGAAGCCATTTTCAATGCGGTTTCAGAAAGGCAAATTGTATACTCAATTACGAGTCACGTACATATTCCGCAATCTCATTGAAGACATAGTGAAACAAATTTTTAGTGGCTAAACCACAAGTGCTTCATAACTCCCGTTGTCCACAATTCCCGACTGGCTTCCATGCCGAACCTGGAGTCTTACCGCTATAAATCATAACCTACTACTTGCTCAATTAGTACCATTATGCGATAATGAGGGAGCCGTGTGTACACCAATGCTTTGATAGCGCCGTTCGGCGATCATATGTATTATTGGATAAAACACAGTCAGAGCTAAAGGAGGTTTACCAGTCAGTCACAGGTCCAAGTGGTATAGACTTAAGCTTCAGGATC